AGAAGAGAATACCAACACAATTTATTGTGTGAAGATTCTCTACAATTCTAGTAAATTAGCTTATAGGTGTGTGCATTGGGTACACATTTGTGTTTTCTCTGACCATCATTATCCAGTTAGTGCAAGTAGTTCTCTAGAAACAAATAATGGTATAAGACATGTCATCTATCTTTAACCACTTCAGGACTGGCTGCCCACAATGTACTGCAGACAGACAGCTCGTACAGGCACAACAACACACCTGGCCTCTCAAGCGTTTGTGCTCCCCTACTTGCTGAGTCCCGCTGTGATTGTACACAGCGGGATTTTGGCAGCAGGTCTCAGCCAATGATTTATTGCTGGGACCTGCTGATCGACTGTGTCCAATCACAGCCCAGAGCCCTGTATTGACACTCAACATAGAGCTCTGTACAGAGGGAATCATTTCTGTTTCTTCTACTTGCTTTATAGGGAGAAGCAAAAAAGGGATTTTTTAGTAAAAAGCAGTACATAATACAGAAATTAACACTTGTTAGGCACACACTTAACCCCTTGGTTATCCCAGGATGTTAACTCCTTATCAACTAGTGTCGTTAGTACAGTGACATTGTATTATAACTGTATTAGTGTCACTGGTAATGTCAGTTCCCACCCAGTGTCAGTTAGTGATATATAGCCTGACACCCTATCACAGTCCCACTATAGTTGCTGATCAACACCATTATTAGTATAAAAAAATAGATACAAATTCCAGTGTATATATACCATAGTTCGTAGACAATATAACTGTCATGCAAACCAATCAATATACACTTGCTGGTTTTTTTTTTTTTTTTTGCCAAAGACGTGTAGCACAATGCATTTTGGCCTGCATGTAAGAACACATTTTATTTTATTTTATTTTTTTTGTTGGATATGTTTTATGGCATATTCCAAAATATCAGTATTTTTGTTTATTAAAAAATAAACCCAGTGATGATCAAATATCACCAAAAGAAAGCTCTATTTGTGTGAATAAAACTATATACATTTCATTTGGGTACAGCATTGTATGACCATAGAAATTACCAGGCAGTGCAGCACTAAACAGCAAAAAAAATGCCTGGTCATGAAGGAGGTAAAACTTTCTGGAGCCGAAGTGGTTAAATGATCCTTGCAAATTATCCAAATCTATCATTCTTTAACTTCAGATTTTATTTTACTTGTCAATTACCCCAATTACCAATGCTTGTTTCCCAATATACTAATTATAAAAGTCTGCATACAAATGCCTCGTCAATTAGCATACCTAAAAAGACTCTGCCACCAGACCAGCAATGATATTCCTATAATATATGTGCATTAACCTGTTTTAGGCATGTTATCTATATCTAAAGCCTCCCTTGTGCCTGATATCTAAAAAGAGATTGATGCTGGGTGTGATGTCAGAAGCCTCAACAGAATCAGAGTTGCCACTCAAATTCACTCAAATGACACTCTACAGTATCACCTCCTACCATTATTATTGTATAGATAAAATGTCAATAACATGTCAGTAAAAAAAATAGGAAAATAATCCTTTACTAATGAGACAGGGGTCACATGGTTTTGCAATAAGTTAGGACCCTGCTTGCAGTTACTAAGATATGTAATTGCAGAATCATAAGGTTACTTTAGTTTCCAGTTGTAAAAATTACTATTTTTTTTTTTTGTCCTTAAAAATCTATACTTGTATATAATATGCTATTATTATATAGAAATGTTAGAAAAGCTCACATCCACAGGCACAGAAGGAAATTCAAGAGTAAATTATACACAAAGAATTAGCATTAGATGTGTGGCTATAAAATTAACATTAGAATATATTTAATTGGTGTAGCTAGCTGGGCTAAATATCATTAGAGATCTTTTTTTTTTTTTTCCATACGACAATTCAAAAAACTTTCTGAAGCTTCAGTTTAAAGAGATATATCTGTGCCTGAAAGGGAGATACTTGTCCTAAAGCTTTAGCTATACCGTACTGCTTCTGGAACCCTTTGTCATAATAGTAAATTTAAAAAAACTACCAGTTAAAATTCATACAGCCTAAAAAAAAGTAAATTAACCCAAACTTAGTTTCACTTTAATAAAAGAGTTTAGGAAAACCCAAGCATAGGCAGTCCTAGCCACAGAATGACATGCTAAATGAATAAATTCATGTTTAGCTTCACATAAACCAAATTTAGAAGCCCTAACAATAATTTAGCTTGTTCAAGAAACATAACAATGCTCTAATTGCTGAGTGCTTTTTTATCCTTATAAATGGGCATCTGTAGTCTGTTACTGGTGGATCTGCCAAAATCTAAGGCCTCAGTAAAACATTTTGCTATTGCCTTTAATGTTGCATTAGAATTATGCTACAAGGCTAGCGGATGCCATAAGCAAACAGACATAATCTGGAAGTCTTTTATTGTCAGACCATCTCCATACATTAATACTGAAATTATCTTTGTCGCTTAGTCATTTTTGCCCAACTGCCAAATTGCTAATGTTCTCCAAATAAAACACAAAACATTTCAATTATGTTTGACATCACTCTGATTTCACACAAGAAGTCCCTCAAAATTAGTTTCACGTTCTTTGGAAGTACAGTAAATATGTTGAACAGCAAATATTTTGGAATCATATGTGACTATGAAACAAATAGTTTAGCTTGATTTGTATATTTATTATGTACAGTTTTTCTTTTTTTGATGCACAGAAACATAAAGCTTGATGAACCAACTAAAATGACCGGGGGATTCAAATAAATACAGTGTGTTTTCCAAAAATACATAATTGTCATATTTTGCTTCAAACCGTTTCTTTTCAAACTAGCATTCTTTAGTTTCATAGCTAATACTATTCTAGCAGTAAGGTTTTCCAAATATCAAGTAAAAACTCAAGGCATAAAGTTAATTACACTGATGAAGTGAAAACATTTACTATTTAAACTTTTAAAGGATTTTGTCAGAGGAAAACACGAGGAAGCCCGAGCAAATGCGCCAATGTGCAATATGGCCACGCCAATTTGCGCAAAGAAATGCGCATAGGTGGGCGGCACGTAATAAAGCATTCCTGTGCACGAAAACACACCAGCACACGCAGGGTGCACTAATGGCTGACACTCAGTGGCCTTTATAAAGACTGCAGCTCTGCTCAGTGATTGCTGGATTATCGTCAGTCCCTCCTGTTCCTGAGTTTACTTCTGATTACCCATTACAGACCCGGCTTGATCATGACCTTGTTCCCATCTGCTGCTCTGTGTATGATCCCGGCTTGATCCTATGTTACTCTTGTCTACTGTTACATATTGATCCTGGCTCTGCCTACTGACTACTCTACCCATCCTCCAGGATCTATGTGTTCTCTGGAGAAACGCATCCTGCAATTGGAGCACCCACGGGTTCCATCTCATCAGGTATTTCCAAGCAGCAACACCACTGGCAACCCGTACTTCTTTGGGCACTGCACCTCCTGTTTCCACCTCCAGAGGCGCACTGCACTTAGCCGAAAGAAAAGCCCTCTCTCTATTGCAGCCTTCGGTCAGGTACGTGACAGATTTTCAGTTTGGGCAGTGCTTTCTATGATTCACATGTATCTCCTATTCCAAAAGAAGACATTGCTATTTCCTAGGTTAAAATTACTGCTTTTTTTTTTTGTCAACTCTCCATGGCTTCCATTGACAAGTTGACTCCACCTAAGCATGAAATCTCTATACCTGCTCCAATAAACTTGTGTCATTATCTTCCTTGTCTAGTGGAAAATGCCCTAAGGAGAGTCCCTCAATGGGTTAGAATCCAGAAGACCCCTTCTGGTGATATTTCAAGGTAAGGTTCACAACCCATCTGATAGAAGTAGCCAGTGGGTTCTAATCATATACACTTGCTGTTAGGTCCTCACCTTATAGTCTCTGCTCTGCCATTCATTGTTGTCCCACATGGTAGACTCCTTGTGCCTCCTCTGATGACTTCCCCAAATGAGGGTATTTGTTTACAGATGATTGGAAAGCATACCTCCAGCAATCTTCTGTTTCCTAAGTGAGTCTTGCTTTTAGTTGTGAACTTTCTCACAGAAACTTCCTTCAATTTAATAGAAGTTTTCAAGCTCTGGAACCTGATGCTGTAGACAGTGTTCTTGGTCACCCTTTCCTCAGCAAAGAGTGTCAGACATCAGGGTATTAGGTTACACTGAGCTGTTTTTATGCTTGTTTACTATCAGATATGGTGGTTCACAACCCTAGGTAGAACATTTTTCTGAAGGTGGTATCATCCCAAAACATCAAGAGATAGCTTTTCAAACATTAGAATTTCCAGAAACACAGCAGACACACCTACTCAATATTGCAAGAATTCTAAAGTTGTATATGAAGGCATCAGCGGACTTCCGAATATTGGACCAACTATTTGTGATACTGTATGGTAAAAATAAGGGGAAATTATCAGCTGTATGTGTTATAGCATGCTGAATCATCAAGTTAATTCACCAGAGTTATATAGCTAGGAACCTACCTGTTTCAGAAGTGGTGACTGCTCACACGACCCTGAGTCTAGCTACATGTTTGGCAGCATTTTAACAAGCCACGATAGAGATATTTTGCAAATTAGTACACCTAATTTATGACGCACTAGTTTCTCTTGCTAAAGTTCACTATAAATGTAAAGTGCTCTCTTCGACTAATGTATGTGATTACATCTATGAAAACATTTCCCTTCCTGTTTTGGTTATATATTAGCTGTCAGTGTGATGCCATGGAGAGGTCAAGGAAACAGAAAACTGATGACCAAATACTTACTGAAATTATCCTTTCCTGATCATTCTCAGGGACATTGCATGATGTCTGCCCAGTAATAGTTACTTATTGAACACTCCTACTGGGTTAGGGAAGGGCTTTTTAGTTTAATGGTTCAGTTGACAGGTAGACAGAGTAGTCCAAGGGTGGACTGACAACTCATGGGGCCCCCGGGCAATAGGGGATCATGAGGCCCGTGTCCTCACCCACACTCAAACCGCACTGAAAAAAGCCTATGAAAGGTACCAGGGGCATCTCATGGGGCTCCCTACTGACCCCGGGCCCACAGGCAATGCCCCAGTTTCCAAATGGTCAGTCTGCCCCTGGAGTAGTCCCATCATTTTGGTGTTATGAGTAAGTTAACTACAGTAAGTATTTGGTCACCAATTTTCAATTTTTTTTTTTTCATTTTGGATAGATCAGGGAATGACTAGAATCCTTTTTTATGTCTGTATCCTCCTGGGGACATTGCACTTCACTCCCTGTCCCAGAGACATAACTGGAAATCTCTTCAAATTGCGGAGAAATACCCTCTTGATAGTTGATACCAAAATAGGTGTTCCCATTGTATGGTTTCTATTCACCTCCTGGGTCCAGTGGCTAACATAACATTTTGTATTTCCCATTTTCTTCCTAGTGACAATGATAACCACAGATACAGGTCCTAAACTTTCCTTAAACCAACAAAAACATTACATGTAATTTATAGTATGGGTTTTTAATTTTCAGCTGAGTCCAGTGAGGTTTGAAAATTATTTCCCAAATAATGCATTGGGTCATTAAATCAGAGGCAGGATCTTGCTATTTTATGGCCACTGAATGATAAATCCTTAAAGTTAGTGGACAAGCAGCATTAAACCCCAAACCAAAAATGTATTATAATGCAGTTTACCAATCATTAGATGTGGTGGCTGCATCACTTTTCTTTTCTTTGGCTATTTCCTTCTGTTTTCACCTGGGGATCTGGTCAGTAGCACACCTCTTGTATTAGGCCTCTTGCACACTGAACATTTTTACAGCTGCTGTGATTTGGCTTTTGGAGTATTTGGCAGGGGTGTTTTTGGCTGGAAAAAAAACCCCAAACTAGTGGGTTTCTAGAGGGGGTTTGTTAGCTATAAAACATTCTAACACTGGTAAACGCTGTAAAACGCAGGAAACCAGTGTTTTTGAGAATTTTGAGCCAAAATTGTGGTTCTTGTGTAAAAACGCTAATGTGGAAAAACGCAGCAAAATGTGGCTAAATGCTAATGTAAAAAAAAGCTAAAGCATGTGGGGAAAATATGCATTGTTAATGCAACTTTATACAGCTGATGCTACCTGCGTTTTTAAAATGCCCAGTGTGCATGAGGACTTAGTGAGACACCACTCTGGAAAATGAGCACAAGAGGGCACAGAAGACGGCAGCATTGTCAGTCTGAGGGGGATAGGAGTGTTAAATGGATTAGCAGATTTGAATACAGCAACAATTGAAGCCAAACTCCAGCTAACACTTTATGATCAGTTACAGCACACAGATTTTTTTTTTCCTTTTGGCATAAAGGTTTTAAATAAATACATAAAAGCTGATCATTTTAATCACCCATGCTAGTGGTGAATGGTTTCATCCATGTAAACAGATACATTCAGCTGGAGAGCTTAAGCTTGTTAAAAACAGCAGAGTTTCTGACAGAATCATTAGATGAAAATAGAAGAAAGAAAGCCTAAAAAGAAAATGAATGCAGCCATCACATTGAAGAATTGGTGCAATATAATACATGTTTGCTTTTGGGCTTAATACTGCTTTGAGGATATGTCTATACAATAATATAGAACCAGTTAAGGTAACTCCACCATTAAAAATACTTACCCAGACTCCCATAAGAAATAACAAATCATTCGTTACATTTCCTATATTGCTTTGGTCCCACACAATTCCTAGATGTCAGTACCTTTTAACTATATGCAATATATTCTCTTTCCTTTCTTCTGAACACTTATACATTCTAGAGGAACAGTACATTTTAGTCTACATTCTGATTTCACATAAATAGGGAAGGGTAGATCCTGCTGTTAATGAAAAGATAGGCTTTACATCCAGTCTCATTATTTCTTACTGTACAGCACTTGCTCTTGTTGCTTTTTTATTCCAGGAAAAGTTATTCCATTTTATAAAGCTTTAAAGTTTATTTGAATGTATTACATTTAGTCTCTCTGATTTCATTGTTGTTTGATTCCCTTACAAAATGTATTATTAAAACACAAAATATCCGCTGTAGTGAGCACTATTTCTTGGAAGTTTACATTTGTGTACACTGAAAGCTATATCACAGGTTTCCTTTTACAGTTAATTCAACAGTCCATTGCTTTTAATTGCCTCTTTCACTTGGGAAGGTGTTGGAAGCAAATTGCTAAATATTCAGATAAAGTACATATAGATTAGATTGCTGTCATTTTGTGATTTATACATATCTTCCACAAAGACAGACAGGTGACACATGTAGTTTGTGGTTAGAAATTTTATCTTATCTACCTGATGAATCAGCATCATGATCTCCATTCAGTGATCAGAGAGCAGTTACATTAAACAAATGGTAGCAGACTTCTCTTACTGAATAGAAGAGGTGCATGAATCAAAAATAGGGATAGACAAATGTACAACACCTAAGCAAAAAGAAAAAGAAGAAAAAAATGATATATGATATGCCTATACAAAACATAGCAACAATCAAGGTAAGTCTAAAAATACTTGCTTTACTAATACTGTAGGGCATACTGTATAACTCCTAAAAGCTTTTTACACCCTTTTAACCCTGCATTGAAAACTCATAAATGCCAATAATGAATGGAAATGGATAATCTAGACCCTTTTACTATAAAATGGAGTGCTCAAAGCAGCCAAAGTTTCATTGTAGGGAGAGGGAACACATCAATGTTTGCAGCTAAAGTACTTTTAAAAGTACTATCTACGCCAACACATATATTAGCCATAACATTGACAGCTGACAGGTAAAATGAATAAAATTCATTAACTCATTACAATGGCATCTGAAAGTAAGTGGGATACATTATGCAGCACGTGAACAAGTTGTCCCTGAAGTTGATGTTTTTGAAAAATTGGAATGTGTAAGGATTTGAGCAAATTTGACAAGGGCCAAATTGTGATGACTAGACAACTGGGTCGGAGCAACTCCACAATTGCAACTGTTGTGGGATGTTCCCTGTATACAGTGGGTAGGAACTACCAAAAGTGGTCCATGGAAGGAAAACCTGTGAACAGGCAATTGGGTAAGGGGAAGACAAGGCTCACTGATGCGCATGGAGAGCGAAGCCTTGTCTATGTAGTCAGATCCAATAGAAGAGTTACTGTAGCTCAAACTGCTAAAAAAAAAATAAATGGTGGTTTCAATAGTAAGGTGTCAGGACACACAGCGTGCCTATGATTACCTGTATCCAAAGCTAAAAGTGCCTATAATGTGTACATAAGCATCAGAACTGGACCAAAGAGCAATGGAAGAAGGTGGCCTGATCTGATGAATTCAGAAATGGTTCAACCTAACCTTCACATTCTCCAAAACCTAATCCAATCAAACAGCTGTGGAAGTGCTGGAAAAACAAGTCCTATCCATAGAGGTCCCACCCTCACAATTTACAGGACTAAAAGGATCTCCTACTGATGGCATGGTGCCAGATACCACAGCATACCTTCAGAGCTCTAGTGCAGTCCATGCCTCGATGGGTTATGGTGGGTGGTCATAATGTTATGGCTAATCAGTGTATATTTCATTGCTAGATCCTGGGTGATCACTCCCTTTGCTGTCTTCTTCATTTGTTGCTTTTTTTAAGGGTAATTTGTTGCATGTTTACATCCATAACATGTTTTTCTTGTTACAAAACTTTCCTTTAAAAAAAAGTTGTCTTTGTTTCAATGAACTTTGGCATTTTAATTTAATTTAAGGTGTTGGTTTTCAAATGTATGTTAGAGCCTTATAAAGAGCAGCAATCATTGATTCATTTGCTTACTGGATTTTCTTGGAGCTGGCTTTGTTCACAGTCACATTAACTTCACTGTTCTATCGTCAGATTAAAAATAAAGGTTTTGAATACACTGAGTAGGCCTATACTCCCTGGTACTAAAATGCTGTGCTGCCAGTTTTTACATAGTAACAGTTTGTACTCTAGTCCTGGTCACCATATTACCATGAGAGAGATGATGGACAGCATTACTTCACCGCAAAAACTATGTGCAAAAATATCAGTGCTGTCTGTGGCAGTTTGGAGGTGGCAGCGGGATGCTTGTAAAGAAATACATTTCACAGACCTTTTATTAAAGTGTATATAATCCCTAACTATGAATTTATCTTATTTGTGCCCTTTGAAGTGTTTAGCACATCATTGGAAGCATTTTGCAACACCTGTTTGAGTGCCAAAAAGTTCAGAGACATGTCCTCTGTGCATTTCCTGTGTTATCTAAAAGAGTTATCTTTGAACTACAAAATGATTACTTGAAAAAATATATAAGGGGTTCCCACCATGTCCTGTGAGGGGAACGTGGGAACCTGGGGATTTTAACGTGCCAAAACAACACTTAAACTGACAGGGACATCAATAAAAACACATGTTTAGTTCCATGTTAAAATAAACATATTCTAAAAGACTTATGTCATCAGCTGCAATTCCAACATGAAAAATGTACAATAAGACAAACATGAGGTAAAAATCTAGAGCAATGCGTTTTGCCCAAGAAGAGCTTCTTCAGAATCAGCTTAGTTAGTCACTCACTTTAGCAGTGCAGCCAAAAATATTGGTGTCAAAAACAAAAGAAACAAATATTGGGGCGCATGCACGACCAGGGATGAAGACGGATGTGCAACCTTAATGCTCCACTCATTCCTGGCCTTCCCGGCTGTCCTGCACAGCAATCACAGCCTCCACTGACCCACAGGTGAACCAAATAAGCTCTGCACCCGGCCCGGCACTTGGGGGGAGGAAAATGGGGAAGATCGGGAACTGAAAGCCCCCCCTCCCGCTGTCACAAGACCTGTGGCCTTCTCCGCTCCAGCGGTTCCTTGCTAGGCCGCAGTCCCCAGCCCCGAGTCCAAGGAAGGGCTCTGGGCCCCCAGGTCCCCACGGGAGGTACTGCAACTCCCTCTGCAATAGAGCAGCCAGCACCCCCAGCCTCTTCACATCCCCAGATGGAGGATCCTGTGCCTCTGACACTGGTAGGGGGGGCATTAGACCACCCTTCTTTGGGACATCAATCTTCTGCAGCTGTCATTCCGCATGCATCATCTTCTCTCACAGCATCTGCACTAGATGACAAATTACAAGTATTTCTACTCGACATTATCCGCTGAAGTTGGCAAATTGGCTTTGGATCTTAGAGGGGAAATAGCCCAGATCGGAGACCATGTGGATCAATTAGAGAATAAATTTGATGAATTGATGCAATACGTCCATGTTTTAGAACACAACACGTATCTGAAGCATTCCATGTCCCAAATCCAGCTTCAACAAGAAGATTTGGAAAACAGGGAACGCCGCCAGAACATCCATATTCGCGGTATGTCCGAATCAATTGCTGATTCTCAACTCCACCGACATCTCTTATCCTTCTTCACTGCAACTGCCCCCATGGTTCCAGAAGCAGATTGGTGCCTGGACAGGGCCCATCGATCTCTACGCCCAA